GCGCATTAGGGAGCTTTTAGGAGGGGGATTTCAGGAGAGGGCTTTCAGGAGGGGGCTTTCAGGAGGGAGCGTTCAGGAGGGGACTTTCAAGAAGGGGCTTTCAGGAGGAGGCTTTCAGGAGGGGGCTTTCAGGAGAGGACCTTCAGGATGGGGCTTTCAAGAGGGGGAGGTCAGTTTTGTTTTAGACTATCAATACGGGGGAGCATGCACCAGAACAATCTATTTTTCACCGCTCCTATTATGCTACTTTGTTTTCCACTAGGCGGAATGTTTCTTTGTCTTGTGATTTCCCGAGTAGAACTAATTAATTAGAAAATACAAAGAAAAATTACGCTCAGCGCACAAAATTCCGTCTACTGGAAAACGGCCTTAACCCCCTCCCCTCAACAATTTGTTGAATGTGCCCCCCTGAGTACACGAACGAGTTAAAAGGTTGAATCAACATTTTAAGTTTACTTGTTAGATGCCACAAGGCATGGATATCATCCTTTACCAGACACAAAATATAATTATATTTAGCACAGAAAAAAATCATTCACCTTTATGTATTATATGATATTCTCCACCAAATATATCTGTTCCAGTCTAAATTGAGCAACCTGTCTCATACAAACGTAGCGGAATTAAAGAAACCGATAATTCATATTTAAAATGTTATTTTACTTTTTCTCAGGTGCCTGGTACAGTCTGTTTCGAGCATTGACATGCCCAATATCAATTTTTGAGCTGTAGTAAACAAAGGGGAAATCCCGCTTACCGGGGGTTGGCCCATTACAATAGCATACCTAACTTATGCGAGGCCTACCGAGTAAACTAAAAGCGCTAAAGACAAGCTGATTCTTTTAAATAATGTGTAATTTATCAGGGAAGAATGAAAAATAATATTTAAAGGATATGATAATTTTTGGCTGAGATAGAGCGTTTTCAGTATGCTGGCTTGTCGACTGCCCTGCGGTAAGTGTCAATATGTGGCGGTTCGACGACTCGTCTTGTGCAAGCTGCTCAGTCAAAGTTTAAATTGGTATAAGCTTAAAAATAATTCCATATGATGCGAATATTATGGGTAAAGAATGAAAAAAAATATTATGACGATAAAGAAACTTGTGGCGGAGAATGAGCGTTTTGAATCGTCAAGCGGCACGCGTGTTTGCAGTCTCCATCAATATGTCGCGGAGCGATTACATAACTTATGCGAGGCCTCCAGAGAAAACTAAAAGCGCTAAAGACAAGCTGATTATTTTAGATAATGTGTAATTTATCAGGGAAGAATGAAAAATAATATTTAAAGGATATATTAATTTTTGACTGAGATAGAGCGTTTTTAGTACGCTGGCTTGTCGACTGACTGCGGTAAGTGTCAATATGTGGCTGTTCGACGACTCATCTTGTGCAAGCTGTTCAGTCAAAGTTTAAATCGGTATAAGCTTAAATATAATCTCACAGGATTCGAATATTATGGGTAAAGAATGAAAAAAATATCGTGACGATAAAGTAACTTGTGGCGGAGAACAAGCGTTTTAAATCACCAAGCGGCACGCGTGTTTGCAGTCTCCATCAATATGTCGCTGTTCAGTGACATAACTTATGCGAGGCCTCCAGAGAAAACTAATAGCGCTACAGACAAGCCGAATGCTTTAGGTGATGTGGAAATTATCAGTGAAGAATGAAAAAAATTATTATAGCGTTACATTCATTCCTTACGACGATACAGCGATTTAGATAAGAACTAACCGTGTCTTGCTCAAAATTTAATTGACCCGACACGGTTTGGCGACTTGGCTTATGCAAGCTGTTTAGAGCAATCTAGAAGCAGTAGCGACTCAGTGATTGCGTTATATGATAGTCCTTTTCTTGGCGAAGAATGAAAAAAATTATTGTTAGGATGGGTGAAGGCTTTGTGGAGTTAGAGCCATTCGAACACGAACGTCATGCCTCTGGCTCCAGATTCAATCCGAAACTGGAGCTGCGAATCTGAAACTGGAGCTGTCTGGCTTCTTGTTTAATAGTTTTTATTTAAGTTATATTTCCTTACAGAGTCTCATCTAATAGAATTAACACAGTGTTGTACTGAAAGTGTGTTGAAATTTAACCTCTGTTAATTTTTTGTTATTTGGCATACAGTGTACCCAAGTAGGTCTGTATTTCCGTATTATGGAATTTTCTGGAAAATTTAGGTCGAAAACAACTGTTGCAAAAAATTTTTTGAACTTTTGTCTTCAGAAACACGACATCGAAAAATTTTTTTGAAGGGGCCCTGGAATGGGGCCCAAATTTTTTAATACAGCCCCCTCCCCCATATACATATTTTACATAGTGTACATGTACATACCAAGAATATTGTCATCGTTATTTTCCACTAAAATTCACAAGATATATGCATTAGTTGGAAATTATTTACATTAAACACAATGAAGAGTTGTTAAAATGTACTTTGGTTAAATTTTAAAAACAACTCATAAAGCTCTTTGAAATATTTTTCAAATTATACATGTATATTCATATTCATTTAAAAAAGCAGCTTACTTTATTCAACTTACTTGTTTTAAACTTTGTCTTTTGCTGTAAAAGAAAACATGGAAGACCAGTTAGCATTAGTAGCATACAATAAAATTCTTCCTCCACAAGGCAAATTGTGTTTATAATATTGAAAACTGTTTTTTAGTACTTAATATAAATGAGCAGGCAACTTGTCGTCTCATTAAAATACATTAGAGGCTGTTTTAGACTATCCCAGGAGCATATATATACAATAAATATATTAAAAATATACTACTCGTACCTTTCTGTTAATATCTTGTAAATTAATCTATAAAAAAAAAGTTTAAAAAAGATGAAATTGAAATAGAAAAACCAACCAAATAAAGTAATTTCTGCTGAAAACATATAATATTGTACAAATATAAAGTGTTGTTTTTTAAATATAGAGAAATTTAAAAATAATTATATTTGGGGGGATAAAACTCACTGCAACTCCAAATACTCCGACTAAAAATCCAAAATCAAATTTTCACGCGCTTCGTATTTGCACGGAGTACCATGGAGGTTGTGTGAGATTTTTTGGTAGCCATAGTGATACACACAATTAAATATTCACTTATAGTAGAGTTAACTGTATATAGGGATGGAAAAGAAACTTACCTTTTATATAAATTTGCTTCAGTATCTAGACTTTTAAAGATATGAAATATGAATATTTACAAAATTTTAAATGTTATAATATAATGTCATATTGTTATGCTGTACAGTATATCTCATATAAGACATAATGTCATTAGAGCCATCCTCAGAAACATAATATAAATATTATGTCTAGGTAACAGGCAATGACAAACTCCCTGAAGCCTTCCTCAAAAACACAATAAAGCCGGTTTTCCACTAGGCGGAATTTTGCGTGCGGAGCGGAATTTTTCTTTGTCTTGTGATTTCTCGGGTGGAACTAATTAGAAAAGACAAAGGGAAATTCTGTTCGCGCGCAAAATTCCACCTAGTGGAAAATCGGCTTAATAGAGGCATAAATATTTACTTTTGTACATGGTATGCAGAGCTGCACAGAGAAATTTGGGGGTCTGGGGCAAATTTTTAATTTGGCCCATACTTTTAAAAAAAAATGTTGGCAAGCGTGGGGGGGGAGGGGGGTTGGTTTCACAAACATATCCAAAAAAAGATTGAAAAAATATTTTTGGACAAACACAAGGCAGTAAAATTAATTAGGTTCAAAAACATTTTCCATTTTTCTGACCAATACCAGTAAATTTAAGGTCTAAAAAATTTCTCTCATACTGTAAGTAATGACTTACGTATATAAAAAATTCTCCAAATAATTTTTAAAATTACACCTTTCCCCCCCCCCCCCTTTGATGTGGGGACCCGGGCAAATTGACCCATTTGCAACCTCCCCCTCTAAGCGGCCCAGATGGTGTGATTTGAAACTTGTGTACTACACCTCTAAAATTGTGCCTAGTAACAGGCAAAATAACCTCGAAAGCACAGTATATGTGCCCAGTATACAGTAACTTGAAGTTCAGGCCCTAATCACATAATAGGGCCCGACACAAAACGTGTCTAAACTGTGGCATTCCCGTCCATCAACTGTGGGATTCCCGTCCATCTGGTGGACAGGAAATCTGATTGGTTGATCAGCCTCATGAAAGATTTTGATTGGTTGCAAGTTCACATAAACAACAGTTTTAAAAATAGCTCGGTCAAGGGCTGAAGGCGACAATACAAAGCCAAAGGTCAAACGCACGTAACAAATTCCATTATCGATTTCTTAGAATTTCTTTTCTTTTATGCTTTATGGCAGAAAATAAATCAAACAAACAGTATTTTGAATGGGATTTATCAAAATCTTTGACGAATTTTGGACACACAATGCTGAAAGAACAGCCAAACTAGTCATGTAATTTCGAAAGCTTGTTGACAGCCAAGATGTTCTGCCAACTGGCTTCGCCGGCAAAAGTCTTATTTTTAATATCAGGTCCTACCGGCATTTTCTGAGCTACATCGCCTTCTTCGTGGTACGATTGAGAATTTCATTGTTGCTGTTGTTAGCCCGTTAGAGTATATGTATATCCGCGTCCAGCAAGTTGAGACCTTGAGAAAGCTTGGCAGTCAAGCTGTGCACAGAACTGACTAATTAAATCTTTGTTTGCTGTTTGGTTAAATAGAGTAGAGAAACTGACTCTTAATTATATAAAAGTACCTTGAATTTTTATGTTTAATTAAAAAGCAAAATGCACACTCTGCGGACATGTTCATGAGAATATAAATTTTTTGTGTAACAAAATCTACAACACTTGTCAATCATATTGCATGCTGTGTCTAAAAATAACATGTGGGCGTCCCACGGTCTAGACAGGTTTTGTGTCAGGCCCTATTTAAAATTAGGGCCTGAACTTCAGGTTAAGTATACAGATTCTCAAACACCACAACTATTGAATGACATTTCATGACCTACTTGTACTATATGGTTGGACAGTTTACTCTGCAAGCACTTTAAGTCACTCTTCAGCTTTGAGTTGTTTTTGCATATTTCTACTCCTACCAATTGCTTTCAGACGATCAAATGTCATAGGTTCAAACACAATATCATGAATCGATCGTACCACCCGCGACATAGCTACAAATGTGCATCCAGCAACTTTTTCTCCTTTACATAACTCAACAACAGCTTTTGTTAGTGTCTGTTCTTGTGACTTGTGAATGGTCATTGCATACCTCAACCGCAATGGCACTTGTTGCCTTGACAAGTACTTTCCATCAGCCATCCATTCAAACACTTTGGGTGGCACAGGTATACATTTAGAACATGCATCTAGGAATGCAGGACCAGTGTAACTATGGAAGTGTACGAATACTGCTATTGGCAGGTTTGGTGGACCCATATTCTCTGCAAACCAAATCTGCTCAATAGTGCCAAATGAGCCATTGCAGAGACCAACTTCAGCCCACAGGTTGCAAGTGAGCATTACTTCTGCTTTTGTGGATAAAAACAGAACAGCATCCAATCCACCAGCTTTGTCCGATGTTGCCACACTGGCACCATGACCGGAATGCTTTGCCTGAATTTTAGCAACAGGTTGTCCAAGCTGCAATAGCTTCTCGTAATTGTATTCAGCAACACCTTTCTTGTCAAAGTACAATTGGATGGCATCAGTAAATTGATCCATTGGTACACTTGTTGTTGAATGCTCCAACAATAGTTTCCAGTCCTCCTCTGTCACTTCTCCATTTCGCATTCTCATCAGCAAGGCTCTAAAAGCAACTGCCTCGGGGTCCTGACCAGCCTGACACATAACTTGATCTAAATAATGACAGACTCGAACATCAGATACAGACTATGTCCATGGTCACTTACTGTTCCATTACCTGAAACATACATTGGCTTATCACCAACAGGTGGTGATTGACCAAAATCACCCATTAGAATTACTGACATACCACCAAAAGGGATATCTTCCTTTCCAGTACCAGCACGTAATCTATTGTCAAGCCATGATAGCATTTTATGTCCAATCATTGACATTTCATCAATAATCAAAAATCTTTTACCTTCTAGCCTCAGCTGTAACCACTGTAGTGAGTCACCCTGCAGATCCCTATATTCACGGATAGGAAGTTCACCATTTGGTTCGCACTCATGGAATTGACCATCTGTTTCAGTTCTTCGATTGTCATGTTTGCATCAGCAGGATGTTGACGTAAGTAAACATTCGCTTGTGACAACAGCTCATGCCATTGTTTCATGTTTAACACCCAATAAGGAAACCGTGAGTGAGATGCAAACCTCCATTCAAACTTACCATCTGCAAGCCTCTCTGCAAACTTCATTAAATGTTTGAAAGCTTCAATTAACGTCATTCCATGTTGTCTTGCCCTATTTGTTGGGTCACCCTTCCCATGAGGAAACAATGTAGGAAAGGCCATAGTAGCTAAATCATCTGTTTTAAATTCATAAACGAGATTACCTTCAGTAGATGGCCAGTCTAATGGATCAACCTCATTTACTGCATCTTGGATAGCTGCACCTTCTGTTCCCTGTCTTTGATGCATAGGAATAAACGATGTACTGCCACTTCCTAAAACTAACTCTGCCACACTTGCATTAGCACTCATTACTGGGTCTTGGAGAGGCCCCTCATTTTCAACATGAACAGAAAGCTCATTTTCATCAATGACATACCTTAGCTCATCAGCAATAACATTTTCTGGTAAACTTTGGATAACATCTCTATCAATTTCAATATCTTCAAAGAATGGATTGTTTGTCTTTAACTCATTAACGCCCAATGCGCCCAGAGATTGACAAGTGGGTAACGGACAATGCGCCCTCAAATGACACCTCAACTTGTGGGCATGATATTTGAGCACGTGTTTATCGGGTTGCCTAGCAACGGATACGAAAATAGAACATGAAATTCGAGCTTTTCAACGGTGTATCATGCAAGAAAATTGGTCAGAAACTCGCAAAGTTTTTCAAGTTTAAAACCTTAGTTTTTCAAAAATAATGAATAATGGAGATATTGTTGCAAAGAAGGATTTTACAGCAAGTTTTAAAAGCGAAAAAAGAAGAGGTTTTCGGATGATATACAACGAAATCCAAACTTTATTAAAAATAGAAGTCGGAAATCACAAGAAAGATGAACACGGAACACAAGTGAGCAGATACAATTTTTTAAAGGGTATTTTTGAGTAGAAATATGCGATCAAACACTCACAAAATTTGACCACATTAATGTTCGTTGAATCTAGTTTAAAGTTATCTTTTTAGACGAACTGTTTATGCAAATTTGGGCATAATTTCGACTGTTTTCGTGACCCCATTGTTGGTCTTCTTGTTCAAGTTGTTATTTTAGCTAAAGTATGTTTCAAACGACACCAGATTGTGCGTACGTGACCTTTTTTGGCAAGAATACTTCGAGTATTAAATTACACTAAATAAGTAGGATATTCCAAAGTCACTGTTATATCTATTTTCATCAATTTAGTCTTAAAATGACAACTCGTTTCAGACATATTGTGGTTTAAAATAAGTGTATTGAATAAACGCGCTTGCTTGCCGCGTGCGAATTCTCAAAAAGTCCGCACTTGAGTTGTAAAGCTTTCAAAATGCTTTTTACTGGTTTTTATATCCCCTATAAAACTTTAAATCGATAAAGCAGATAATAATGTTGATGAAACATCATTTTCTAGTAACTACACATTGAATCAGAAGAAAATGTTATCAAAATAGGTCGCGACGGTTGTTTGGCAAAATGTCGCTTCTCTCTGAAATGGCTTCCTTTGCGGGAAGCCATGAAATTGAAGTCCTAACAAAAACATAGTTTAGGAGTTGTTTTGGGCCCATAGCTCACTTATTTATCATGAAATCGCTTCACTAGAACATTTTTAATAATGTCTATGGAAAACTTTGTAATTTTCTGAACTAAAAGTTTATGGTTTCGAGGTGTTTATTTTATAAAATAGCACGCGCAACAAAATGGCACTTTTGTGGTTTCTCACGTCTGACAAACAACCAAAGATGAAAGTCCTTATTTCACCTTTTTATAGCTATGTGGAATACCTGAATATTAGGTTATCTTTTTCATGTGAGTATATAGATAACATTTCTATGCAATAGTCCTTATGAAGGCTTATTTCAAACTAAAAAAAAGCGATTGTTTTTCAGAGCCAGACTTCAAAAGAGAACACGTGTCTGACATTTTATAGCAGCCTACGTAGATTGGCGCGCAAAATAATTTTGGCTAAAAACCGTTGCTTTTCCAACAACAAAAAAATGAGAAAATTGAGCTAAAAGTCTTACCTGATGTATGTTTAAAATGTTTTTCTTTTTATGGTGTTTTTCAGTGCTTTGAGTAGAGAGGTTAATAGCTTTTGGTTTTGTCACCACAATTTGCCTTTGAAAATGTCGGCTGTCATTGTCTGTGTTAAAAACACCTCAGAAAATTCCTATTTTCTCACCTTCCCATCCTTGGTTTATATTGAAAATAAATAGATTCTAGTACCATATGTCCTTATAAATATATTTGAAGTAATTTAAAAACTTGAAAGATGTACAAGCACTGTGTTTTGGCTTGCACACTTTGTTGAATTTGAACACTTAGTTACTGTTCTAAATTTCATGTTGTAAACATCTTGCCCAAAAAAGCAAAGGAGTATATTTTATAATTTTTGATCATTTTCTAATTCATATCCCAATAGATGAAAATTGGTTATAAAATAGATATGTACTAATTTAGTGAATAATTTTTTTTTTGGTTTTTATATAAATGTATGGAGATATTGCCCCTTTAGGTGATGAGTGACATGAAAAACTAAGTGTCACTGCTTTACAAATAAAAATTCTCATTGAAAAAACTAATGATATATATAGGTATGCAAGTTCATTTAAACTAAATTTGGTCAATCATATATCAATAATATTTGGTTGAAAAGACCAGATTTTTTCATGCAATTGTTTCTGAGATATTGCCATTTTGGTAAAAC